CACTAGCAAAAGAACCCAATCGAACGGCTCACATCAACTAAGAACCTAACATCGTATGGTCTCTACTAGCCTAGCTAACTAGCTAGTAACCACGGCCTAAGCCAACAATTTGGCCGCCTAACCCGCTATCACTTCCAATACTAAAGCACCCTCACATACAAGCGTCTTTACAAAGAAGCGCCTTCCTCTCTTACAAGCATCCTCGAGAATGGGTTTGGTTCTCTTGCTATCGGCTCAAGTCATACATCCTAGCTCAAGCCTAACTTTTACCAACAAAACAACCCATTGAACGGCTTTACTTCAATGTCAAAAGTCCATCATCAACGGCTCACATTCAGTAAGAACCTAACATCGTACGATCTTTACTAGCCTAGCTAACTAGCGAGTAATCATGGTCTAAACCAACAATTTGGCCGCCTAACCCACTATCACTTCCAACACGGGGAGAAGGGAACCTTATGGGCGGAGGGGAGCGGCTCGGTTGAGCTGAGGTGTGCGACACCGACCGGAGAAAGTCTGATCACTCTGCACAACGTGATGTATGTCTCGGGGGTGCCGGCGAATTTGATCTCGGTGAGCAAGTCCACCGAGATTGCGTCAGCTATTCAAGGAGAAGTTGACGGGAAGGTAGTCCTTGTCGCTCGAAAAGTGAAGGGGATCTATGTGGTCAACCGGGCGGCGAACGCACATAGTGGTCCAGGGGGGGCCGCTTTCAGAAAAGGAGCGGGAGGGCAATAAGACCCGATAACGAGTAACTCAACTACGCTACGACTCCCTACCATGAGCTTCAACAGGTTATGGCCCACGACGCTTGGTTGTGAAGAGGGCGCACGTATTCAATTTTGGGTGTTTGGACGGCCAGATTTTGAATGCTCGCGCCAATGAGCTTGTCAGGAAAAGGAGCGGAGGATTTGGCTTCTTTGTGTTTAAGGGAGGGTGTAGTTGAGATGGCGGGAGACAATGTGTCTGTTCCGCAAGTGTGGGTGAGAACTGGTCAACGTGGAAGGCCAAGTTCCGTGGGCTTCTTGCATACCAGGGATGCCCTCTGCTTCCCTCCGATCTCTATCTCCCACAGGCCTCCGCGCTTGACTCCCTACATTCGGACCACATTGTCCGTTTCGATCTGCGCGGTCTCCCCCTCGAGCACCAATCGTGCTCCCGCGTCGGTCATCCTCGTCAGAGCGAACAAACTCGCATGTGCCCTCAGAGCGTGCCGGACCTCCCTCAAGGTTACCGTACTCACACCGCTCGGGGTCTTACATTTAAGCTCCACTTCTCCAATGTCCACTGCAATCAGAGACTCACCACAGATCCCCACGTCACGCACAAGCTCATTCTAGCTCGTGAATTGGCTCCGATCGGCCGTAACATGCTGGGTGCTGCCCGAGTCGACAATTCACACCCCTTTGCACACATCCCCGTCGTCGCCCCACGCCGTAAAGGCTACTCCGTTTGCATCCCCTGCAAACTCTCTCTCCTCTGCGCGGCCACTTGCGCGAGCGCTCTGCCTACACACTGCCTCTGTGTGGTCCCTCTTGCCGCACTTGCGACACTCCGCATCGCACAACCTGCACTTTGCCCTCATGTGGCCCACTTTGCCGCAACAATAGCACGTTGGCGGGTTTGAGCTCCCGCCTCTCACCTCCGAGCTTTTTCCCAGCTCGTTTGAGCTTCCCCGGCCCTTCTCTAAGCTCGAGTAGCCCCTATGCTGGGCGGCATACGCCACAGCCTCATCCCTACCCGAAGTCCCCTTCAAGGACCCCGCTTCAGCCCTGAACTTTAGTTTCTGCTCTCTGTGCATGAGCTTTGGCTGGATCTCATCTAGGGTTAGCTCTTCCTCCCCGACCTTGAAGAACTCAAAAACGGTGGCATACTCCTCTGGCAAACCCTCCAAGGCGTGCACGGCTAGCTCACCCTCTGAGACGGTTTGTCCCGCCGCCTCGAAATCTATCTTTAGCTCCTGGAATTCCCCTAGGTACTCTGCAATGGATTTCCTTTTGGTCAACCTTAGACCCGTCAGCTTCCTCTTAAGCTGAATCAAGCGCGCATTGCTCTTCTTCTCAAAGTTGTCCTTTAACTTCGTCCACGCTTTCTCCGCAGTGGATTCACCCTCAATCAACTAAGCATCTTCCGTTTGCACGTTAGAAGCAGATTTAATCGATCTTTGTGTGCATCCGCGGTCGTCAGCACTTGTAAAGATGCTTTGCCACTTTTGTATATTGCCAGCAGAGAGTGACTGCGGTAAGGTCCAGATCTAGAAGGGTTTGTTGAGAGACGGGCATTTAGAGACCAAATATCTGGGTGATTCTGAGGTTTTAAGATCACGACGTCGACGCTACCTCGACGGTAACCAGTAGTCACGGTTACACAGTTAAATGCGCGCGGGTTACAACGTTACACCCGAGCGACTTCGCGATAACCGTCGAAACTGACTGTGTAGGTTCGAAAATAGCCGTCGATGTACGGTATAGAGTGAAAGTTTCGGGCTTTCTAGGTGACGGTCTACTGAGCCTACTAGGCTCGAGTGTAGACCTAGAGATAGGCCGTGTGTCGGAACACTCCATATACATTGTGTGAACTTGATTGATTGAATATCACTCCCAACAACGCTGTGTTTCAACAGGTTATGGGCCCACTTCGCTCGGGAGGAAGGACCAGCCATGGGTGCTCTCCGTGTTGCGACGACGTTGGTAAATAACCGGTCTCTTTCACTTGTAGCCATTGAGTAGGCAACACGTGAAATCCTCTACGAAGGAAACCACGTTCCGTCCAGAGGACAAGCAGCACAAAGCGGCGCAAATCAGCCTATGGTTCTCTCTTGTCAATGAAGGCATCGGTGTGGATGGTCTATTTTATCACGGGTGCTCTTTGAGGTAATTGACATTGGAAAGTCCTGTAAGGGGATCAGGTGGCGGGAAAAGCCTAAAAGGAATTTTTCCACCTTTGGCCTTGAGAAAGAGAGAAAGAGAAAGGGAAAGCAACCCTAAAATGGCTGACGGGTTCAAAGTTCACATAGACAAGCTTGGTGTAGACAACTACATCAATTGGAGTCGTACGATCAAGTTATTGTTGACATCCAAGGATCTATGGACCAGAGTGACAAATCCCGGAAAGCATGCATCTCACTCAACAAAAGCGTTGTCATAGAGTTGAACGTTGAGGACCATCATTTGGGGTCGATTGAGGCGTGCAAGACCGCTAAGGAGGCTTGGGATCTCCTTGAGACTACCTACAAGAGCAAATCTAATGCAAGGAAGATGCAGCTCAGGCAAGAGTTGCATTCCCTCACGATGACGTCGGGTGAGCCATGTACGTGGCTCGGGCAAGAGATTTGTTTGGAAATTTGACAGCTACGAGTTTCGAGCTGAAGCCGGATGAGCTGGCTTGAAGCGTGTTGGCGGCATAGCCAAGCTCGTTCAGTACTCTGAAAACAATCCTAATGGCTTTGAAGGGCCACTTGAGCTCGGTGGATGCGATTCTGCCGAAGCTCTCAGTGCATGAGCAAGGAGTTAAGCTACTCAAGGATGAGGCCAGTAGTGGGTCGGCCTTCGCGGTAGCTTATGTAGCTTAGCGGAAAAGGAGGAAGGAGAAGAGCCACGGCAAGGATGAGAGCCGGGGCAAGGGGCCTAAGTGCTACAAAGTTTTGCGGTGAGTTTGGCCACATTGCTCAAAAGTGCAGCAAGCCGGATAGGCGGGAGCACAAGACGGAGCAAAGGAAGGGAGAGAAACCTTCCAAGGGAGTGGCCTTTGACGTGGTTGAGAGAGTAGCTGCCAACGAGTGGCTCGTCGATGCGGGTAGCTCCCAGCATATAACTAGGGACAAGAGTGTTGACATCATACGTTCATGCGTGGAACCTACGAGGGATTCACCCTCACACACAAGCGCCTTCACAAAAATAGCGCCCTAGCTCTCAACAAGCATCTCTTAGTATGAATGAGTTGGGTTCTTTACATGTCGTCCAAGTCTTATAGTCTAGCTCCAGCCTAGCATTAACCCTAGGTGTTTCAATCGACAAATCGACGGTCCGTAATCGTCTTTGCCTATAAAGAACCCATCGAACGGCTACACCGAAGTACACATCACAAAAGAACCCTTTCACAATGGACTAAATCCTGTAAATCTACGCTTCTATGGACGACTCAATCACAAGATATTAGAGCGTACTCAAGACTGGTACCTCCCAAATCTAGCATATGAAAATAGAGCGGAACTACCCTCTATTTCCGCCTAACTCTATTACAATTTGGCCGTCAAAGAACCCCGTATCTTAACAAAGAGCCTATTTGAGACCCTCGAGATATTCGGGGGGAGTGGCCGAGAGTTCACGTTCGGTGACAAGGGAACCTTGTGGGCAGAAGGGAGCGCCTCGGTTGAGCTGCTGTGTGCGACACCGACGGGAGATTGTCCGGTGACTGCACGCAAAACGTGATGTAATTCCGAGGGGTTGCGGCAAACCTGATTTTAGTGAGCAAGGCAATCGAGGTCGCGTTAGTGTTGTTCAAGGAGAACGGCAACTGTGAGCTTGAGGTTGAAGGGGAGGTAGTCCTTAGAGCTCGGACAGTGAAGGGGATCTACGTAGTCTATTGGGCGGAGAACGCATAGATTTTGAAAGTGGTCCGAGGGGGGCCGCTTTCAGAAAACGAGCGGGGGGGCGCCGCCCCGAGGGAGGACGCGTGCTTCGTCGTGAGAAAGCCGGAAACGGCCGAGCTCTGGCACCGACGGATGGGGCACGCCGGGTATGAAAACTTGGCAAAGATGGTACAAGACAACCTCGTTGAGGTTGTCGGCGTGAAACCCGGTGTGTTCAGGGCGCTCAAACTCGGCGTCTGAGCCGTGCATCATGGGGGAGCAAACGCGGCTCCCCTTCTCAAAGTTGGAATTGGTGAGCATAGAGCCTCTCGAGCTGGTCCACATGGACGTCTGTGGGCCGATGCCGGTCCCGTCGGTCGAGGGAAACCGGTATTCTTTGACACGTTTTTGGACGACTACAGCAAGCTCCCGTTTGTAGTCCCCATAAAGCAAAAGAGCTAGGTGGCCAAGGTCACCGAGCACGTGACTAACCGGTTCGAGTTGCAATCCGATCCGAAGAAGCTCAGATTGGTGCGGACGGATCGTGGGAAGGAGTACGTCAACAAGGCCCTCAAAGACGTGCAAGGGGACGATGCACGAGTAGGCCGCCCCCTACACGGCCGAGCAGAACGGGTCGGCAGAGCGGCTCTATCGGCAACTTGAGGAGAAGGTCCGGGCGATGCTCGAAGACTCGGGGCTGCCCAAAGAGATGTGGGCAGGGGCCGTTGTGACGGCCAACTACACCCGGAACCGGACCCCAGTGAGCGCACATGGGAGGACCCGGTGGGAGGCGCTCTACGGCAAGAAGCCCAACGTGGGGCACATGCGGGTGTTCTGGGCCCGAGCCGACAGGCACGTTCCGAAGCACAGGCGTCGGAAATTGGATCCAGTAAGCGAGCGGTGTGTGTTCGTGGGGTGTGAGCCGTCCGGACTCCAAGGCGTACAGAGTGCTCTAGGAGAGCGACGGGAGGATCATGATCTCCCGGGACGTCATCTTTGACGAGGGCGAGGGGTTGTTGAGCTGTGCTCCGACCCCACGGAGGATTTCCCATAGCCGCCGGCGAGCGCGACACCGCGCCTGCGCCCGCGCCCGCACACGCGCACATGCCCGCGAGCGACCGCGCGGCCGCGTCGTACGCACGATTTCCAAAACCGACCAAAGTGGGCAAGTTTTGGAAATGATGCGAGAGCGCAGAGCAGAGCCAAAAAGAATGGCGGAGGACATAAGGATGCCAACACGGGCTGCTCAGAGGTACCCCGCGTGAGACACATGCGCCTGAAGAGTGGCACCGCGCCAACTTGGCGGCGGATACAGAAGCGGGGGAGCACCCCAAGGAACGGGGTAGCACCCAAAACCGCAGAGTTATCAGGAAGCCGTAGGGGAAGAAGAGAGTGACCTTTGGCATAAGTCCATGGACGAGGAGATGCGTTTCATATTGGAGAACGGGACGTGGAAGATCGTCGAAAACGGGAAGGGGTCAAGCCGGTTTCCATGTAGTGGGTTTACAAGATCAAGCGGGACGCTCACGG